CTCCTGCTGAACTTTTTCTTCCTCTAGTCCTTTTGGAAGGAGCAGAAGCAATAACGCTACCTTCAGCAGGAGAACTTTCCTCGCTAGCCTCTTGCGAGACTTCAGAAGCAGCTTCCTCTGCTCTCCTTAATCCTCCTCTTGGAGTAACAGCTATGGGCAGCCTGCTGACGGACAACGCTTGTCCATCAGAATGGCTGCTTTCTACTTTTTCTGAATTAGTCAGTTTAGGCTTCCTACCTCTCCTAGGAGGAACAGGCATCACAGGTATTTGCTCATCTCGAGTATTTCCTCCCGTTTCAAGTCTACAAGTCTCAGGTGCTCCTTTTGTTCGCTTGGTACTTCTCCCAGGAGACATTCAAACAGAACCGGTCTGTCTGTCTGCAGCAGTTGATGAGTGCCTTCCGAGGGAATGCCTGGACTTCCACTCAGTTGTCCCCTTGTGTGTGTTCTAGCAGTGATGCCATACTCTACTTGATGCCTCCTGGTTTCATCTTCCACTCCCGTCACAGGTGATTAAGGGAGCCTTTGCCTTCTGGAATCTAGTGACCTTTGTCCTGGTTCGGGCTGGAATTGAGTTCATGTTCCTTTTCGGGAGCGAGAAGAATGCTGCCAGCACACTGAGCTTTCAAGGACTCTCCAAATCCCTATGTCCTGCCTTTGCGCAGGCACAAAAGAAGCAGGGATGGGACACGGCTGAAGCACCGGGCCCGGACTGGCCAACGGGCTATTCCACGTCATGTAACATCACGCTCGCTATGTAAAGGAGGGGTGGGCGGGAAGGGGCTCTCTCTCGCTTCCGGGATTGCAATCGCGGGGTCTTAGTATTTCGGGATCGCTAGCCGGGAACGGGCTGGGTGTCGGTCAGCGGGTGGTGAGCAACTGCACGGTGCATTGCCCGTTTCTAATTTCTATTACTGTCACCGTTTTATTTTATTACCATTAGTAAACTGTTTCTATCTCAACCTGCAAGTCTCCCTTTGCCCCTCCAATTCCCTCCCCCATTCCCAGGTGGGGGAGGGAGGCCGAGCGGCTGCGTGGTTGTTAACCGCTTCTTAAACCCTGAAAAGATGTATTTAGCACGTCAGTATGATGTGAAACAGATAGCTGCTCGTCTAGTGGAATGGAAGACAAGTTCAGCTTTACCGATTCGTTCCTATGTTACTGAAAAAAGAACATGTCCCAGCACTCACTGAGTCTCAAGGTTAACTTGTTCTAAGAGCCTTGAAGTGACAGGGCAAACTTTCGGGTTTGATTTCAGAAGTGATCAGTAAAACAGAAAAAGATACGTGAGGAGAAGGCTGTTAAGCAGTTTCACAAAACAGTTTCCCAGGTTTTTGAAGCTCTGAAAATGACTCTGAGATATAAAGAGCTCTCGGTGTCCCTCAGCTGCATCACATTCACCATCGTCACTAGCTGGCAATTCACGTTCAATCTGTTGCTCTGAAGCAGCACAGCTGTGTTGAAGATTGCCTGGTGGATGGAGCTCACTACACGGCGATGTTTCAGGAGCTGCTTCTGAGGTTTCTGCCGTACCCACACTATCTTCAATAACCTGAAGGTAAAAAATGTCTGTTAATGCATTCTTAATTACCAGACAGACTAACTTCAAGCTGAGCTTCGTGAAACTGAGGACAGTGAAATGCTGCTTTTCCTTTCAGACCACCACCACGTGTAAAGTGGGAAACATACAATCTACTCCCTGCACAGATAACAGTTCATGCGTTTAAGGGACAGAGAACAGACTATTCCATTTATGCAATGACACGCTCCATTTCTGCTCTTTCTGTTCCTGGATAACGATTTGCCACCACCCGTGAACAACGTGAGCAGTTTACAACACAAGCTGCACACACGACCGGCAGCAATCGTCACGCTGCAGAACTTTCTGGACTGACCACAAATCCACAGGTCGTACAGACAGAGAACGCTTCCCTCTGCTTCTTCCAAGCCAACCAGCAGCCCAGTTCTCTTCTGCCAGGAAAACTCCTTTACCACACGCACAGTGGGAGGCTGTTTATTTGCTCCCTGGAAACGGTACGCAGGAGCCGCGCTCCTGTCACAGAGCTCACCGCCTCGAGTTGAGGACCACACGCCTGCCACGCCAGGCCATGGCTCCCTGGAAGAGAAACGCAAGAGGACTTAAGCAAAGGTCCAGCAGAAGACTGAAAACTGCCGAGAAGTCACAGTCACCGCCCTTTCCTTCAGTAAAAGTACCGAGCAGAGGAAGACCAACCCGCCCGATTCCGGTCAAGTAGTTAAAGCCACCCGTTGAAATCCTCAAGGAATGTATCTGAAAATTAACACCTTTGGTATTTTGCATTTGTACTTGTCAGTCCCTTCTCTCGGCCCTTCCTCACTTGGCAGGCTTCCCAGTCCTTTGATCATCTTTGTGGCCCTTTTCTGGACCCTCTCCAGCCTGCCCACATCTTTTTAGTACAGCGGGGACTAAACTGCTGGCAGACTCGAGGGTGGGCTAGCCAGTGAGCAGGAGGAAAACCCGTCTCTGGGAAGACCGGGTGTCTCAGCCAGCGGTGAGGGAGGGAGCCCAGGGTGGGGGCACAGAAGATAGCTGGGCTTGAGGCCATGCTGACCTCCTGGGGCTCTGTAAACGAAGGGCGTGCGTGGGAACCCCCGGAGTGACAGCACGCCCGCGGTGTCACTCGCGAGCTTGAATCGCAACAAGCCGGAGAGGAGGCTTCAATCTGCTGACTTCAAAACAAAATCTGGTCAGTCAGTAGCAGCAAGGCTATGGTTCAAAATCAAACGTAAAAATAAAGAGCCACGACATGCTTTTTTTCCTCTGTCCAAGAACTGTGCGTAATAGGAGTAACTCGACTGCCGGGCTGGGCGAGCCGAGGACTCAGGCCAAGGAGGAAGAACGTAGCCGACTCAGTATGAGTGATAAAGTGTGCTTCAGTTTATTGATTTTCATTACAGCCTTTTATAATCCTTCTACTAATTATGCCTACTAGTCACTAGCTGATTGGCTTAAGCTCTAAGGGTCGTATTCTCACGGTCCACCTACTTGCAGTTAGCTTACAGCACAAGTTTCTCATAACACTAAGTTTCTCACGCTACTATTTCTGATTCCTGTTTACTTGTTTTCGATACACAACAGTACCGTAACACAATGTTTCTCAGACCACCGTTATCATAACACTAGGTTTCTTAGACCACTATTCCTAATTCCTCTCAACCTGTTTTCGACACACCACGGTACACAAGGCTGAAGTGTCCTTGACATTCCTCAGGTATCAGCAGCTGCGAGCAGCTGCAAGCAAACCCTAGTGAGGCCCAGCATCAGCAGCTAGAGCAGGCTCTGATCGTACAATTGCTCGGTGGGCTCAGGACCCTTGTCTCTGAGCCATTCTCCAACACTCGACTACAGATAGGGATTTCATTTCCACATTGGTACGGCAAGCGAGATGGGAAGGAATGAGTTTCCACAGAAACACGTTCACAAACGGCATCCCTGCGTCGTTCCTGCTGGCACACAGCGGGGGAGGCTGGTTTGGGAGGACAAAGCACTTTCTGAAGGGGAAGGAACACAGGAGTAAATCGCAAGCAGCCCTCAGTAACCAGGGCAGTACTCTCACAGACAGACGGCCCTGCTGCACGGGCGTGAAGCTTTCTGCTTCCAGCAGTGCTCGAATCCGCTGGACAACCAGCGCAGGATGCTGATGGAGTGGGAGCATCCAGCAGCTACAAAAGCTGTACTGCATGGCTGAAAACTTGGCCTCTGCTGTAGCGGAGAGGCGCGGCACTGTAAAGCTTCTGTACCCTATGAAGCTGTATAGAAGGCGGCATTAATTTTCCTTACCGAGGTGCTGGAAAGACTTTCTCATGCATACCCATCTGTAAATCCAGCTGTACTACCTCAACTTTGTTTCCCACAGTATTTTAGAGGATCCACTCTGTCTTGTACCGGAAGCTGCTCCAGAGTCACGGTTCCCATTTTTCCGATTTGAGAGTAACCCAGCCTTTTAAAGTACCGCCTGGAAAGGTCTTGGAAAGAAGTGACACTTTGCGCTAATCCCACCTGGCACTGCTTGTACTTTTCCCAATGCTGGGTGGCTTTGAAGAGCTCTTTGCACACAACGGGCACCGGGCCTCTGTTTGCAGCGCAGCCGATCGTCCAACAGCTCTTCCCGAGCCGGCCTGCCCGTACGCCAGCAGAGCAGCGTTATAACCTTGCCAGGCGTTCTCCAGCGCTCCTTGGGCCAGATCACACAACACCTCGCTCTAAACAACGATCGAGTGCATCCTCTTCACAGATGAGCAAGCAAACGCATACACAAGCACTGCTGCCCGGGACGCGTGCCCCCACTAACAGGTTGAATCAAGATTTGCAAACGTGCTTGAAAGTAATACCGAGTTCCGGGATGACGGGAGCGTAGGCAAAAGCTAGGTAAGGCTTCCAACCAGTAAACCGACCCGTGCCAGTCACCTGCAGTACGCTTACATGAACGTTAATAATGGGAGATAAACTAAATGAGCAGTCTACGACCGTGTATTAGCTACAACTGCTTGTAGTTGGTTCTTTGAGTAAAATCTTACCTGGCCTGCATAGCTGTTGGATCCGGCTGAGACGAGCATACCGTTCTCGCCCTTTCGGAAGCCACTACGAGACCACTAGGCTAGATGAAACGTAAAGGCCTTCCAGCGCCCTGGATTCTGAGGGCCACATATGCTTGTGCTGTTGGTGCTCACAGAAATCACACACTACTTCCCTGCACCCTTCTCTGTGTACTGAAAATACGGTTGTAGCACCAAAAGGCAAGCGATCGGTCACCCAGCGATAGCTCCTGCTTTTGTCTGCATTTAAGCCAAGTTGAACAGCAAGGCACACCACAGCAAGGACTGCTGTGGGATAAGCCTGCTCTTAAACTATGCCAGGGGATACACAGCCAAGGAGGAAGCGACCTGAACCAACGGACACGTCGGTAACTGTAACTTGCATTTTTCCCTCTCCCTCGCATACTGGTCATCCACACGGCAGAGGGCTTTGAAAAACACATTTTATTTTAGGAACGGCTTGAATTCAACAGGAACCACAGAACATTTATCTCCAAGCACATCCAAGAGACTCGTTACCTGGACTACTTTGCCGAGAAAAAAAAAAGCATTCCTGGATTGGAAACCTGCAAGTTTTGCACAGAAGACAAAAGTACCAACAAAATAAGAAAAAACTGCTACCTTCTTACTTGAGAGTCTACAATTTCATAGTATTTTCAGATTGGCCTAGACTAAGAGGTGAAAAGCACTGCCTATCAACTCATGAGAAAACACGGGCTGGCTGCTGCCTGTAGCTTGTTTTTTCGCCACCAGAAATCAACAGCTAAGCTATTTGCGATTCGGCACATGGGAACAGATGAAAAACCGCCAGGTGATTTTGCATCGTGATACTCCAAAGTAGTTTGGTCTGAACGGGCAGAGAAGTTGCTGTTTTCTTTGCTGACATCCATTTTCTCCAAACCATCTCCAGGTATGCTTTTTGAAAACGCTTCCACTTCAGCACGATCCTCCTCAGGATTGCTCAGAGTAAGCACAGTTGCCTTATCTCTAGTCTCAGACGATGCATCCTCCGCCATTCCATGATGATGCTCCCATGAATCCCCAGGCAGTGCTATATCATCGTTGGTTACCTTTATTAAAATACAAAAAAAAAAGCCAACAAAACCTCACAGTCAATAACATGCAGGTGGTTTTTGTAAAGGGAAGACAAAAACCCCCCCAACATATACTGATATTTGTGTCCCTAGTGTCCCAAAAACCACACTGCAACTCTGCCTCAGGGAGAGGACGAGGTACGGCTGGTGGCTCTGCAGCTCTAGCACTAGAACAAACAGGGAAAGGTAACTGACTTTCACTCCCCTGAAGTCCAAACATACCGGAATTCAGGTTTATTTGACCATCGCCCCTGAAGGAAAATCATCTGACAACCACCAGCCTCTTTTCCGCTCGTTACAATTCCGCCCGATGTTAAGAAGGAAAGGCAGAAACGAAGCAGACACTGGGCAGGAAGCGGTCAAAGATCCCTGTTTGGCCACATAACCAAGTGTCTCAAAAGCAGTACACCGAGAGCTTGGTGGCAACCACAGTTCTAGTTTCAGCTGTCTTAAATTCTTGAAAACACATTTACCATCGTGTCAGTATAGGTCTTGGCCTAAATAAGATTATCATAGCCGAAAAAGTCTCTCTCCAAATATTACTTTGGATGAACTGATTACAAAAAAGCCAATCAAAGTTTATTCAGGTACACCTTCCTTCCAGAATACTAACATAATCCAAATGGATTTTTCGCTATTCCTCTCCACACACGTAGCTCAAAACTGAACTTTGTGAAAAGGCTGCTTACCTATCATATCGTGAGGAAAAGGTTTTCTGCTCATTTCCTGCCCATGCTGCTCCAATTCTGGATAACACATTACTCATGAAAGTTGCTATGATATCCAGATATCCTGAATTGGCTGGTTTTCTTGCTCTTGATACTGGCTTTGGTCTCGCAACTGTAAAGCACAAGGGAAAACCTATCAGCCTTGTGTTATCAAAGTGAGCGTTTCTTGACCGCTGTATTCCCCGCGCTAAAAATTACCTCCTCTTAAGGCCGACGAAGGCAAATGGTAAGGCCTGGCTCTCTCTGCAGCCAGCTGCCTTTGAACTCTAGGAAGGATCTTCCGATATGGGCGTAATTCAGACTTTCTGGCACATGCCCCCTCTCTGAAGCGAGGATGGCGATCATTCTGATGAATAAAAAGCGTAAAGCAGTTAACTAATTACAGCGAGTGCACTGCACAGAACAGCAGCAAGTCATTCATGAAGTTACGGGACGACGTGCCGGCTGTACTGGAGCTGGCAGCAGTAATTGTTTACCACAGCCCACTTCCTTGGGAGCAGGTGATCATGTCTGGTGCAGCCAGCTGATGTTTGCAACAGCTCGCATCCCAGTGAGACCCCCCCGTCGTCAGCTGCTGCACTGAGCCCAACGCTCGGAGACACCGACGGGGGCCACGGGGGGTCTGAGGCAAAGATGCTTTGTGTTGCGCATGACCAGCACGGCCTGCACGCTTCCTTGCGCGTATCTGTGGCACAGAATTTATAGACGGGTCTCTAGAGACAGGCCTATCAGGGCTGTTCCCCGTCAAACTCCCTAGTTTGGATCTAAGAGTACTATCACTTCTGCTGACTAAAGCCAACACCTGCAGCTCAGTGCAACTCGCAAATAATGGGAACATCAGGTTACCACGTCTTGTAGCCTCTACAGCCCTGTCAGGCAAGATGGATGTATTTCCCCTTGATTCCCTCATAGGCAGACACCTGACCCAAACTGGGTGGCTGGACATCAGCTGGCCTGGGAGACAGACAGCCAGCTGCAAGACACCTCTTGCAGCTATCATGAATGGCTTCACGTATTAAAGGACCAGATTTCTTCAAAAAATTCAAGGTCTGAAACGTCAATCAAAAACTACAGATTAAGACAGCAGTATTATTCAGTCACTAAGGGTCTGGCTAACCACTAAGAGAAATAGGATAATTGTTCACTTAGACTCTCGGGAAGCTCACATCAGCAATATGCTTTGCGTTAGCAATCCGAGTAAGCATTACTACGTAGAGTCGTAAGGACGGCAGCCAAACTAGCAGTTACAGTTTCTAAAAAAAATCCTGTAAAACAAAATATTGGCCCTTGCAATGCTTAAGTATTTTCTCCCTTCTCTGTCAAAACACGGGCCTTTCTTTTTCCCTGAACACTGACACAAATTACTTTCTGTACAAGCTAAAACTAACACACAACTTCAAATCACGCTTTGCATGAGCCTTTATAAGCCTCTCTGTGCAGAGGCTGATTTATGTTGGCAATACGTAGTGAGCTGAAACTTAATTCAAAATTATTTGCCACAAGCTGTGCCCTGGCTTGGAAGTTAGAATTTGGCCAGGGTCGGGAAAAAAAAAAAAAAATTTCTTCTCAAATACTTCTCAAACACAGTTTTTCACTTTCTCCATTCTGTCCTCCTTTTTCAAGCAGACCAGGGATCAAAACCCTAACTCAAGACTACACAGGCAGTGCGACTGAAGGGTAATAGAGAAGAAACAGCTTTCTTCTTAGGAACGCTTTTGTTCTTGCTCCTAGAGCAACGTTGTATTCCCTTCTAGACGTTCAGTCTCGGATCGCGCTTCATCAGGAGGCAGTGCTCACTTTACAGTTCCAAGAGCAGACTGAAAACATTCTCATTTGCATAAAACTGGCAGGGTACAACTGCAATTATGCGTGTGGATGGCAGGACGAGCATAAACCCATCTCTGACAGTGAAAGCAGTGCAGGAGAAAACTTGGAAAAGGTCCATCTCTTCACATTCTCAATAAAGATTCGGTAAATGATCACCTCCTTCTGGAAGCTGGTGCAAGTCATATGGACAACTCCGGAGTTCAGCAAGCACGTACCATCTGCAGAAACAACCAACATTTGACAAGCTTCCATACGCTCACAGTTACGTTATGACCAGTTTACAGTTTTTAAACAGCAGTATCTGGAAAGACAGATCTCAGTGCCCATCTTCCTCACCAGATCACTTACAGACTTTTTAAAAAAATAATTACTGCGTCTAGAACTTTCATCTCTAGCGCAATCGAGGTGCTGTGCTTTGAGCTTCAGTTCAAAGTCATTTCATTTTATAACCATCACCTCTTCGCAGGCTCTATCATAAAAGCACCAAACCCCAAAACTCAGCACACTCTCGGATGTGTTTCACAATTTTAAATCCCACCTTAGTGCAACGTAATTTGAGTTGGGTTTGTGGGAGCTGGGGGTTTGGGGGTTTGGGTTTGGTTTTCGAGTGACAGAGAACAAGAGAACTATTTCATGTCATCTGACCTCAGTTTGAGCTTATCACTATAAAAAGCAGTGAAATACCTACCAAAATTATAGGAGCTTGGATTAAAAAACTGATCAGGTGGTGGATAGGAAGGAGGCACTCCGCGACAGAGACTCTGCTCACGTACTCGAATATCCAAAACGAGGCTTGGAGAAGTCATACTTAGTCCAGTATCCAGTGACCACAGCGCAAAATAGGGGCAGTCGTGAAGGAGTTCTTCCGGCCTTAAAGAAAACAAGTGCATAAGCTAAATGCCAACTTTCAGATGAATTATCTGGGGGGACACTGAAAAGAAGCTAAGAAAAATCTACCTCAGTGAATCTGGCATTTGAGCGTGATACCAGCGGTTAATGTCAAATACACCCAAGTAAGTAGATGGCTTTCCCTCACCATACGTATTCACTTGCCAGCTGAAGACTGATACACTGGTCTCAGGAGATATTACTGTAAAAGACAAGACGTTGTTTCTTATTTGTAGAAAACATGCCGTATCCGATATTTTTAAAGCACCGCTTCCTAGTTTGGTTTAATTCTGTTCTACCACTCATGCAAAAACAACACTGACTAAGAATAAGAAAAACAATTCACGGAGTAGCAAACACCTCTGTGACAGGTTCCAGGCATCCTGCCCCTTTTTCTTGTTCGGATTGTATCCGTTCCAAGCCAAATCAGATACATAATTAGTAGCTTATTAAGTTTCCACGCATTAAGAGTTGAACAAGACATTTAGCTAGATGAACAGCTGAGCAAAAAAAAAATATGCTAGGAACACAGACACTGCTTCTTTTAGAAAGCACACAAATAGTCATCGTATACACTTGTATCACTTAGCCAGCATTACTAATTTCCAGCTTTGTCTCAACCACACATTTTCAGAACAGCTCCTCTCCTGCATGTCCGCACCGAAAGAACACAATTATCACACAAAACAAATACAGAAACAAAAGTTACAGGTATTTTTTCCATGCCTCATACTTCAGAAAAAGGAGGCAGAAAGGGGTTTTTTTTGTTGCCGTTTGGGTTTTTTTTGGTTTTCTTGGGGGTGTTGGGGGAGTGGTGTTCTTTTTTGTTTCCAACAGGTTTTTAGAAGGCACTCCTCTCAGAAACATGGCACAAGTGGAGAAAATCCAAAGGTGCTTTGATTAGATTTTGACACACCGTTGCTCGAGGATGGCATCACAAAAGACACGGAAGTTGCCGCTTCAGGACTAAGTCAAAGACAATCAGCAGAAATAGCCTAGAAAGGTCATGCAAGTGTCTTTGTGACACCAGACAGAAGTCAAGGCCCGTAAGAAGCGGGGGAAGGTGACTAACGCAGTCAAAACAAACGGCTATGCAAGTTATCACTGCAGCAGGCTCGAAGATATGGTCAGAGCGTAACTGGATTTGTAAACCCAGAGAGGTATATTTAATTACTGCAAGATAATGAAAGACACCATAAGAGTTTTAACTGTGTACATGGTCAAGGAAAGCTACCGCTGCATCCTGGATCCTGCTCTCCCTATCACCTGGGAGCAGGAGTAACAGTCCATCACCTCCTGACAGACTAGTACCTCTGTACCTGGCAAGTGGCCGAGGGAGGGCAATAACAGCACTGCGCATCCAGCAAGTTCTGGGCCTGCGCAACTGGTGGAAAACACCCAAATAGCTCATCACGGGAGCTGGGCCAGAGTGGAAAAGTCCCTAACGAAAGTCAGTTATCCTGGAGCCCATAAACAGTGACCCCAGGTGAGACCCTCTGAGCTCTTCTCCTGGATCGCAGTGGGCCTGTGACCAGCATCTCCCCTGAGTTGGGACGCCTCTCAGCTATCAACTCCTCGAGGCACCGTCTGCTGTCGAAGCCAATGATGGGCTGGGCAAAGTCGCCCCCCTCGGGTCTCAGTTATTGGCTGTTGAGGAATGATGATGCTTTGCAAGTATTTGCTCTAAGCTTGAGAAGAGGGAAATTTTAACCGTAGGCTAGCTTTTCTTCACCCGCCTCTCTACTTATCTATGTGTTTGGGTATACACAGCTGTTTTTACGAGTGTGGGTACATACATATTTCACTGGATCCAAATATTTTTGTCTGTCTGTGTGTTTGTACATCTTGTGTTTATGAATAAACATATGTACTTAGATAGATAGATACGTAGATAGATCGATAGACAGACAGACAGATAGACAGACAGATAGATACAGATAGAGAGAGAGAGATAGAGAGAGAGATAGAGAGATGGAGAGATAGATTTAGGATACCACACAGTAAGTCATTGCGATTCTTGTCATTTTTGAATCTGTACAGTTAAGTCACTATTTTAATCATAACGTATTTTACTGAATTATTTTGTAAATCATTCAAGTGGTTAATGATTAAGTGCTGCTACTCATTAATAAATCTCAATTTGCTGCCAAACTATTACCGTGTTAGTATACCCATCCATGACACCTGGGAGAAGAGACCAACCCCGACCCTGCTCCCACCTCCTTTCAAGTAGCTGTAGAGAGCGACAAGCTCTCCCCTCAGCCTCCTTTTCTCCTGGCTAAACAACCCCTGCTCCCTCAGTCGCTCCTCCTAAGACTTGTTCTCCAGAACCTTCAACTTCAAGGTGCGGCCTCACCGGGGCTGCGTACCGGGGGACGGTCACTGCCCCAGTCCTGCTGGCCACACTATTGCTGATACAAGCCAGGATGCTCTTGGCCGCCTTGGCCACCTGGGCACACCTCTGGCTCACATTCAGCCGGCTGCCGACCGACACCCCCAGGTCCTTTCCCGCTGGGCAGCTCTCCAGCCACTCTGCCCCAAGCCTGTAGCGTTGCGTGGGGTTGTTGTGACCCAAGTGCACTCGATCCCCTCATCCAGATCGCTGATACAGATCTTAAACAGAACTGGCCCCAATGCTGAGGCCTGGGGAACACCACTTGTGAGTGGCCGCCAGCTGGGTGCAGATACAGACATAGGTGTGAACAGGGAAAAAAAAAATATTCAGATCACATTCCTAAGCAACGCAGAGAATGATCTTCTTTTTCCAAGAAGACAGCTGGAGGAATAAAATGACTGACAAACGTTGCAGAGATGGCCCTACTATACAGTGCTATAGCATGTCAGCAAGCACAAAATAAACCCCAATTTCCCCCTTAAGGAAGTCCCACAAAACTCAAGCAACCTTTTGTCTATTTAAATAAGCCCAACAAGCTCGTCTCTACAGATACTCAAGACTTTCTGACTTTCTGTGGGTACAGAACAACATTCACTGCTTAGATTCCCAAACTACTTTTTTAGAATAACCAAGCACGGACATCAGAACAAACCTTCATTAACGCTATCCTCTCCGTCAACCGGCTTGGGAAATTTTTCTACAGTCTGGCAGCTCAGAAATTTGGTATTGCCGGTCGGCCCTCTCCAGGGAAAGACTCCACACGTGAGATCTAAACTGAACCTTTCGTCACAGTATTCCAAACCCTGGGGAAAAAAGGAGAGACAAAAGGTCACTTTGGCGATATGAAAGAATCTATGTACCAGAATGTAACATAATATGCACCTTATACTGTGTATTTCCCATGAGCTTCTTTCTGATGGCAAACAGAAACAACATCTGGCACGCAAGAGAATCAAGCGTCAAATCCTAAGGGGTATCTTTGGCTGTAAAGGCTTTGCACGTTTTCAAAATTTAGCATTCCCCTATCATTATTCGGTTCTAATCATGTTTTGCAGAAATCCTTGCAACACCAGGGTTTCTTTACAAACCGGAGGACAGATCTACAAAGAGGTATCTGAAATCAGGCGATACATACGCATGCAAAGCTCTTTGCTCTTGATTACAGGACTGAGGATGTTAGAGAAGTCTTGGCACTACAGCAGCTGAAGCTCTGTCAAGAGGTGTTATCTACTGGCACACCACCAGAGCGAAAACACATCCCTCTGTAGTAGCTGTGAGGACTTCTTACCGAGTAACCGTCTCCTTTCAAACCACATAAGCTTTTACCAGCTCCTCTCTAATCTTGTCACACTAATGGGTGAAATATCCCCCGGTTCCTTCATCAAGCACGGCCACCAGCAAAAGGGGAAGCAGAGAGGATGTGGGAGGCACGCGGCCAAGGCGTTTAGGATCATGAATTACTACAGAGCCAGCAAACTACTTTGAGATATACCGAAACCCCAGCAGGATTGTGCTGAACCTCTGATACCACCTTTTCCTAGGGAAGCATTAATTGAAATACTGTCTTTCCAAATACAGAATTTGTTCAGGCTGTCTACCATGCAACACATCATTGTGTGTATTGACAAATAGCAGCTCTACAATTTAAAACAAAAACAAAAACAAAAACAAAAAAACAACTCACCAACACCCCCTCCCACCTAACACACAAAATACTACCACCAAGGAAAAACCAACACAACAATCAATTGTACCACACTCTACCGAAGTTTCCTAAACTTTCAGAGCTCTAAAATGAACTGGTACGACACAGTACACTCCCATAGGATTTGATATGATACACCTAAATCACCTAATCTGAGAAGAGACAAACCTCCTCTTAACCGTTCTAGGAAATACTACTAATAAGTATCAAGGCTGGCTTTAAAAAAAAAAAAAAAAAAGGGTCTTTCATTACTGAAAAGAAAAATGCTGAATTATGCTCTGAAGCACGCACAGTTCATTCTATTTTATCAAGTAACTTCTGCAATAACAGACACCACCAGACACGTGCAGAGTAGAGAAGCCAAAACCACCTCTTTGAAAAACTAGCATGAAGCCCAAGCAACCGATCCCGTTTTCATTACAGAAGGAACGATCACTAAAACCAGTTTATAATAAATGATGTTGTCCAGAATGAGAAGTCCATCATTCCAAAAGACCGTTGCATCAGATAAAGTCCTCAAACTCCATAAGCCTTTTGGAGATTAATTTGAACGGCTATCAATTTCCTCTCTTATTCATCTATGAACAGCCACAGAGTTGGGGCAGAGGGGAAGGGAAAGAAGATACCAGTTCCTGCCTGAGACACCTTCTGAAGCAAACCACTGTATTTTACATTTTCCACTGGGGCAAGCAAATCTAAGCTGAGCAACTCCGCTGTATGGAAGGTGTTAAGTAATTACTTTGTGGACCAGTAAACTACAAGGACAGTTTTCAAACGAGATGCGCTGGTCAGACTCGGATATGAAAGCAGAGCCTCTATACTCTGTCCAGCCGCAGGCACTGTGTAGGACAAGGGCCAAGATGTGCTGCATGGCCACGCCTGGGGGCACTAGATTTACCAACTCCCGAGATGGCATAAAAATGATCTTTGTAAGCATAACTTCAACATTCCGTTACATTAATTGCTTGAGCACAGGCTTAAACCAGCCCTGAAGGCAGTGGAGACACAACTCTGATGCTTATTTACAAAACTACAGTGCCACATGTTCCAAAACTCCTATTTGTGACTTTTTACCATGGTAAGAAGTCAGTTGCACTGTCTCATAGCCTCAAGTCTGATTCCTGGAAAGTAAAGCACTGCTGTAGTAGACACAAGTCTTTCAACTTCCTCTGAATTCTATTCAATGAACGAGGGTCAACGCTAGCTTCCTCTTTGTTTACTCAAACTTGGCCTGGCAATCGGGAACAACTCTTACACTTTCTGCCATGGAAGATGGACAAGGATCTTGACTCAGCCAGTCATATAGGCAGAGAGCCATGTGGTACTGACCAATCTCTGACTACAAGGAAGTATTCTGAGACTGAAAGTGTCCACCGTCGAGCACAGGGCCTGGCTTAATGCATCTTTGGGGTTTGGGGAGGGGGGCTTGGGAGTTGTTTTGGGGGGCAGTAGGTATCATCAGGTCTCAGTACGAAGCTACACGGCTCATCTGGAAGCGAGCTGAAGAACCCATCTTTTCTCCCCGGAGGCTCCAGCTGTTTAGTTCCTTCTTCAACTCCCTCCCGAGATTGGTTCCTGTTTCAATCTTCCACAGCACTCAGCACAGGGAAGCAGAGGGAGTAAAATATCTCAAACCCAGAGACTGGTGCCTGACACCTGCTGGAAGCCTGTGAATGTACTACTGATTGGACAGTCTGCAGAGGGTCAGGAAGTCTTACAGTAATTACACCACAGCTTTCTCAGGTCACAAACACAACAACATTATTCAATCCTTTGGTGTGCTTTTTTAAAAACGGTGCCAAGCAGAATTTCTAGTAGACCCATTCTTAAAGGCTGCTGAAGGACCTCAGCTCTCTGAGGTGAAATCTGGTGCTACTCACATCTTCAGTTAAGAAGAATTTTATTTGGAAAAGCTGCTGCCTCTTCGGGAGTTGCATGTATATGGGCTCTTTGCAGACGAATCTAGTTGGAACACACGACACTGCAGTGTGAAGTTGTATGACTTGTTCTCAAGAAGTACGGACAAAGGCCACGCCCAAGAAGACTCGGCAAAACATTTTTTTTTTAGTCAGCTCTGAGTTTTGACGGCAAGTATTAGCCCAGCCAACTCAACTGCTACTCACGAAGAGGAAATTACTGTTTTCAGCTTTTGACATACGTGCACGTCTTACCTCGTACATGACCTGTCCTGATGCCAGGCGTTTTCTCTCATGAAATAGTAACTGCAACAGATGTAAACTCACAGCGTCACCTTCACTGAAAAAGGTACAAATTATGACATGTGATTACAAAGCTGCTTTATAGTCCTTGTCATCACCTCATCAGAGCTAGACCAAAGCCTTCTTAATAGCATGCTCTTGCTGAAAAGAAAAACCCACTGCCCAAAACATGACAACCGGTCACATTTAGCGGCTAAAACACAAAGGAGGAAATGCTGGCACTAACAGCTTTGGGGACAAATGCCAACCATGCAGTCTGAAAGCTTTAATATGCTGTATGGACTAACGTTTCTTGGAAACGGTTCTTCACCGTGAAGCGTTCTCCAGCAAAACTGCTTTACAGTCACACCCAAAAAGATTGACACTCTCTGGACAGCTGGGCTGATCAAGTAGCTTGCTGATGCTGAAAGAGAGAGGTCTTTCTTTCTCCCCTCCCCTCCCCTCCCCACCAAACTTCCCGTCCCTCTCTTGCATACGCTGCACCCTTCCACCTTCTGATCTGATTCATTAGCCCGGCAGGAAACCATCGCCCTCTCTGCTCAACAGTGAGCGTTTTGTGCCAGGTGAGCTGAACCGGCTCGTGAAGGCTCCAGAGGCTGCTGAAGCTGGCACGAGGTGACAGGCAATACTGTCACCTCCCTCCTTCCGGGGCAGCAGGCTGCGGTAGCGGCACGTTTAGTGTTCCAGGTCTGCAGCCTCGGCTCCTTTCAGCGGCAGTTTCATACCACGGTGCGAATATCAAAGAAATCATGAAGCAGTCATCAAGAAACAAAGCAAGCGTTTAAGAAAGCGAGCACAACAATACAGCCGCTGTTGCTTTGCCTCCTTTCGGGAGGCAGGAACCAGTAGGTCCCTCTTCACTTCTGCTAAATCCTGACAAGGTTGCATTATAAGCTTAACGGCTTCCGTACCTGAGAGAATCGTCTGCACAGCTGAACAAACGAAACATATATGCACGTATATATCAACTGTATGCGGACAAATATTGAAAAAAAAAAATAATAATCAGTGGCTTATAGTAAGTGTTTATTCACCTTTCTTGGGTAGACTGAACAGCCCACAAGTAGCAACAGTTGCGAGGATCCTTTTCAGGCTCTTGAAAAGTGACAGCATAGACAGGAATCCTTCCTCCTGCAAGCTGAGAGTGGTCCCTACAGGTTTAAAGAAATTTAAAAGAAAAAGAAAAGAAAAGAAATTAAGAGGTGATCCTACTGGCCCTAACAGTTTGTAGAGGGCTAGAAGCATCTCCTGAGAAAAGAGCACCTTCTGTGCTTATCCTCAAAGTACAGAGGTCATAATTCCCTCTCAAACAAGTGAGTCAAGGAAGCAACTACTTTTTATGCAACTGTCAAAGGGTGAGGAAATTACTGTCCATCCAATGGAACAGCCTGGGTTTATGCCCTTCTCTGCCTGAGGGGGAGGAACACAGACGATTACTGCAGCTGCCAGGCAAATGACTGTTCTGGCTGCTGTAGCCTACTTCAAGATTGAACTTAAAACGCAGCGTATCTTCTGAACAAATGTAAACCAGTGCCAAACAGAAGTAGTTCCTCGTTTCTTTACTTGGACTACGTAAAGCCCCTTTCTTCCAGACTTCTGAACCTTATCTGTACCTTCACAGTCGCTTCTTGCCGTCTAATTATCCCTCCACTGTCTATTTAGGCATCCAACAGTTTCCGGAGAGGCACTGCAGATTTGCTGAAGTGAATCCCTACCCGAATTTGGACAAATATTTCGAGCGAGATTGCTCTCTGGCAGATTTAAAATCATCTCTTAATTTTTCTATTCCTCGTGAGTTCACATGTCCCTTATTCTCATCTCCAAGTGTTCCACGCAAACTCTCATTCACGTGCATTGCTGCCTCAGAATGGCTCACTCCCCTGTTTCGGTCGAGGCTGACACGTAAGAAAGAATATGTTTTCAGGCACAGACCAGCTATTGATTCTTCATGTCTCACTAGTATCATCCGGGACACTTTAAAGAATATCACCACCAAAATCACACTAGCAACATTATGCCTTTCAATGCATGCCCTAATTGCAGTAACTTCTTCAGAAAAAGCATTTCTAAGATCTGTTTCATCGAAATACACACATTTCCTGGTTTCACCAAATGCCACCGAAAGAAGAAACTGTCTGATAAAAATCAGCTCTATCACGTCCTAACTGCTTGCCATAACCCAAAGAAGCACGCTTTCCACAATGCCTCAATCCACAGGCACAGTAAGGAAAACAATCCCGGTCCACTGGGGAGAAGGCGGTCCGCTCGGGCCTTGTGTGACTTCACAGCTCTGTCAGAAGAGGATTTCTGAGCATTCTTCCAAGATTACATGCAAAATTTCAGTCCCGGAAACAGTTCTCTTGTAATTAACGTCCTTCCTTAGGCAAAACATGGAGACCGGTGCACCGCCAGGCACAGCCAAGTGTAAAGGCCTACTTACTCCCTCTTCAACGTTTTTTCCACAGTGACAGGTAGCCATCGGAAAAACCCACGACGAGATGATTGCTTCTGCTTATGTAGCTCAGGGTTGATACTGCTGTTCCCGAAGGATTTTGTAATTGAAAACAGAGATGTCTCCCTTCTCTGGCCACAGTTTTTCTTCTCTTTGGAACTCCCACAGGAATTCCACTGGCAACTTCCAGATCTACACACACAAAACCACACAAGGAATGAATGTGTTATGCCATTCACGTTGCATTTTCAACACTGACGTGACTACACGGGTAACCTAATTCTACCAGCCCAGGCAAAATACCCATTTATGCAACGCTTCTTTTGCTACTGCCGTCTTCTGTGTATTCAGAGAACATAAGAACTCTCCGATCGGACGGGTATTCTCCCTCGTATGGCAAAACCAGGTAAAAGCGTAACCTTCAGCGACAAATTCGGCTTGGACTTTGGAAATCAGGAGTTGGGGCTTCACGGTGAAGCTATCTGAAGTGCCATCAACTCCCAAAGCCACTGCTGTATTAGCTGGAACAGCGTATGCCATCTGAATACACCAACCGGAGATCTCATTCACCCACATGCATGAATTTTGGAAAGTCGGATTTGTTTCAAAAAGCAAGCTTAAGATCTGCCCCAAGTCAGCTAAGAGAAGCAGAACAACGTTCCCAAGAAATAGGGCACCTCCGGCACAACTTCCTGCCAGGCAGCTGCACCGACTCAGACGGTGAAATCCCTACAGCTCACCGGCAAGAATCACGGGGACATGGGGATCGTGGTGGGAGGGGGGCGTTTACAGCATTAGCGGGAGCACTGGGCCACTCCCATTTTTCATCAGTTCAGGACTAGGTGATGTCAAACTGCCACCTGTAATCAGCACTCATCAATGTCTGCACACGAGTATCTGCAAAGTGGCACGCATACTGTTTGTTAAAAAGACACCAGGTTTCTTCCTTTTAAATTCAAGTTTAAAAAGCGCACGCTTACCCGAGTTCTCTTTCATTCTGACTGCAAGATAAATTATCCAAGCAAAGGTCAACCAGAAGTAGGTGGCCAACATCTGTAGCCACTGCTGCCACGCCAAAGAGCCATTGCAGGCTCGGATGTAGGTGCCGAGCGCTCGCACTGGTGATGCCTCCGTGATTAGTTATGAGCTCTACAGCAGTTACCTACAGGGAGAGTGCAAGTCAGTATTTAAGCTGCTTGACAAGCTAAACGGAAATCATTCGAAGGTGAAACCAGAATTAGCACATCAGAAACAAGAAGGTAAATACAGGATCATTAGGCTTACAGACAATATCCAATTTTATCAAGAAAAAATAATAAAATAAAGCCCTCTACAAACACCTGGTACTTCTTCCCATTCACTAGATCTCCCGCAGTTACTTAACGGAATTACCTTCCGCTCACATGGCGCATTCTGTTATTACAGCTCACCAACCTCCCTTTGCTACCTGGAAATAATTAAGTCTAAGAAAACACAGAAAATCAGACGTATGCAAGAAACTTGACCGTAATTAAGGGACCGAAGGAAGACAGACAAAACTAAATCGCCTTCTCCCACTGCTCACAGCCCATCGGCACTGGGACACCGGCTACGCCTCCTTTGCCAAACAGGTATTACGATAAATCATGGCTGTAAGTCACACGAGGCAGCGGTCAAGTCGCATGGTAGACGCACCATCTGCATGGGAATTACACATTTTTACACAGTGTTCAAGGGAGATACTGGCTCAGTAAAATTTACGCTCGTCCTCATGGAGGGTAAAGGTAACAACCAGATAAACTAAAAAGTTTTCCATGCACACCAGCACTTTTGTGAATGGGAACAAAAATTTGAAAGGCCAGACTAAAACAGCAGCAAAAAGAACAGCAGCTTGTGGGATAAAAAGCTAACTCCAACTACGGAAGAAGCCTACAGACCAGGAACATTTGTCAAAATACCGTTCAATAGTTCTGAAACATGCAACCATTATAAACCAATTTTAGATAATTAATGCCTTACATTCAGATTCGCTTTTCCAAGAATCCCATTCAAATAATACTCCACTGACACTCTGAGTTTTCTGCTGTGCTTCACGTGTATATCCAGAGGGCAGTGAGAGATGCTCACACACACACACACAGAATTACACCAATATTCTGTCGAAGCTTGAGAGTTTTTTTTTTAATTCTCTGAGTGACTACACACCTACTCTTACTCAGAAGGCAGTTATACGGTCACTATAAATACCCTGTATTAAAACACTAAGGGCTTCACACCTTGGACCACAGTTACTCTAAGCTAGTGTTAAACTCTACAGCTTAGCTGTCCACAGAAGATATACCCACGTGGAAAAGAGTCCAGAAACAAAGGTGCTCATTAAAGCCTTAAAACAGTAACGACTGTTAGTACTGTGGAAAGTGATGTTAAGAACAGATCTGCATTTTACGTTTAAAGATCATCAGCGTGAAGACCAGAGAAACATTCCAGCAGACTCAAAACGCGTATGACGTAACTTATAATTTGGAAGTACGAGTTACCGAAGAAATTCAAAACCTATGGACCGTGGCCAAGTACAAGTTTTATCTACTTGGTTTTGCTTACCCTTACTCCCACACTCACAACTTCAAAGCTAACAGTCCAACTGGCAATACCTCTGCCCTGTCTATGCCCGTCTGCCTCATCTAGTCGCAAAAAGATAGGAAGCAAAATGAAAGCAACAGACCAAACATGCTTATAATCCAGAGCACTAGGGTGTAAGAGCAAACACTCAAATAAGCTGTGACTTTATTCCGAAATCCACAACCTTCATCACACAACAGCCAACTTTTCCCCCACAACGTTTCTTCACATTTTCTCCTGAGGCATTTCTTCGTGCTATAGAAAAACTCCCTAATACAACCGAGAACTACATTCGACCTCAAGTCACTTCTGTAGACACAGAGGCGGTAGGTGACATGGTCCTTCTTAACCTTTCCTTCTCCTATTCCCAGTTCACTTAGATTTAACAAATAAAACTATAAAAAGCAATGTCATTTTCCACAAATGTCATTTGCTTACTGATTATATGCTGATGTCAGCACACAGCATGCCCTTCCGTCTGAAACTCCGGGATTTCTCAAGGTGATAGGCAAACTAACACAGTGGAGCGGCAACCCAACTCCTATCTTCTGAAATTACCACAGTACAAATGCTTACTACTAGTAATCACACTGTAGCATTACAAACAAACAAGCAAAATGCCACCCGTGTTCTAGCAAGTCAAGCCAAATCACTTTACGGAAAGCTGGGTAAGAAAGAAGTATTTACTTGTTGCAGATTCTGGGAGGATAAAACCAGAATGCACCTTGATGTTCAATTAACTTACGCTGATTCTTGTTTGCATTAAGACAATGAGACTAGGGGTCATCACATCATTTGAGCCCAGGGCTTATACAAGACAGAAAAAATTGGCAACATCACAACACTGTATCCCCTCCACACAAACACAATTTCAATAATCAGAGGTTCAAGGGCCACACACGGAAAGTTGATCTTTCAACAGTCTGTCAGATAACTTACTAAAGGCTCTTTTTTCTAACCTAAGGCAACAGAAAGAATCTGTTCTGCTCTGAAGTCACCGGCTTGCTTGTCTGAGACTCATGGGACTGGGTCTAAGTCATTTACAGCACAACTACAGACCTCTGAGATATGTTAAAGACAGTATTTCTGACAGAATAAACCATTCAGGAAATGTATGCTACAGAGACTTTAAAGACTGGGGGGGTTTCCCTTTTCACTCTGCCCCAAAAAGCATAGTTTTCAATGCCCTTTTTTGTGGAAGCGGAGAGTTAGGTAACTATGTGCTCTGCAGTAAAACCACAAAACTTACCTTACGATCAGTCAACTCCAAAGATAATGGTACCGTTAGGCCCAGGATCAAGGCTGCCTTGACTGGATACTCTGAAGCGACAGAATGCTAACGCAATACAGAAAAAATACCTCCTGCAAAGAGACGCTCCAAAGCTTTTCCGGAAACAGGATCGTGCAGCACCTAACAACATAAAAGCTTCGTTTCTCCAATTAAAAAGCACGTACCCTTCCTGGAAGAGCCACGCCTTTAACCACTCTTGATATTCCAAGGTCGTACAGACAGAGAACGCTTCCCTCTGCTTCTTCCAAGCCAACCAGCAGCCCAGTTCTCTTCTGCCAGGAAAACTCCTTTACCACACGCACAGTGGGAGGCTGTTTATTTGCTCCCTGGAAACGGTACGCAGAGAGCCGCGCTCCTGTCACAGAGCTCACCGCCTGGAGTTGAGGACCACACGCCTGCCACGCCAGGCCATGGCTCCCTGGAAGAGAAACGCAAGAGGACTTAAGCAAAGGTCCAGCAGAAGACTGAAAACTGCCGAGAAGTCACAGTCACCGCCCTTTCCTTCAGTAAAAGT